AATTGAGATTGCAAATGCTATCATCTCCCAGCAGAATGGGCACATTTATGTTGTATGCTTTCAAACTGGCATTGTTCAAGCAGATTTGAGTGGCCCCCCCTCTGAATCCTTCCAAAATTTTCAGTGATCCCCCCCTTTTGGGCTCTCAGTTACGACTGATCCCCCCCTCTGTTCTCCTAAAAATCAAGTGATCCCCCCCAAAATCCTCCGACCCCCCCCAGGTGATAAATAATGACCTGTCCCTAAAGAGGTGGAAGAATTCGGCATGAATGTCCTCAAGAGAGAGGGGAAGGCGAATCGGTCGTCTAAAATGACCGAGTGTGCAATGTAAAACAAAAGGCGTAGAAAAGCGTAGGAGAATTTATTATTATTGTTATTATTATTTTGCCACACAGAGTAAATTACAAGTAGAATAAAAAAGGTAATAAATAGGTTAATTAATGTTAAATTCAAAATGAGCATACTACTTGGAAGGAATGACTGTGGCGGGGAAATCTCCTAGAAGCCGAGCTTATGAGGAATAGAGATTTCCCCCCACAGGCAATTTAAATACTAGGCGGCATTTCAAAATAAAGAAAAAAGACGAGTATTTTAAGTATATAAGTGTGTTTAGAGAAAAATATAGACATAAGGTGTTAAGGTATTAGGTTTATATCTTGTCTGACCCTTAAAAATTGTTTGATCACACGCTTGAATATATTAAAACTAAGTCGGGGCGTTTTTGATGTTGTTCGCTAATGAATTCTATATTAATTCTAGGACCTTGAAACAGGATAAAAAATTTTTTAATATTTGTTCTACAGGAACGAGGTCGGTGTAAAAGTCAGAGTATCTTGTTGAACATTGATGAATCTGATTTCCAGTTTGAAAGATTTGAGTAAAAGCAATACTAGGAAAAGCGTCATGAAGATATAGGTACATGAAAGAACTTACTTGGAGCGGGTAGATACCAAAAACGTCAAGAATTTTCAAATTTGCAAAAACAGGTTTACTTAATTGAAGCCTTGTAGTCAGCCTTAGGGATCGCCCGGACTGCTCTTTTCTGTACCAGGTAAATTCGTTGCAGGTTGGTGACATAAGTAGAGGCCCAAATTAAATTGCAGTAAGTAAGATATGGATAAATAAGCGCAAAGTATAGTGCCGTAAGAAGAGATTTTGAGGGCAAATAGTATTTGTAGTTTTATAAAATAACCCGACAGATTCAGAAATCTTAGCCGCAATAAAATTAACATGAGTTTTCCACGTAAGGTGCTGATCAATATAAAGTACGAGGAACTTGGTATTGTCTACTTGTTCCAGTACATTATTTTCTATAATAATCTGCCTTGTGATGGTCTGTGATTGGTAAAGTTTTTTGCCTTGGACTGAAAACTATTTGTTTTGTTTTCTTAACGTTGATTGATGAACTTATTGGCTTTTAGCCAAGTTGAAGCATTGTGGAGCTGGTCGTTAAGATGGAAGGTAAGTACATCCAGGTCACTATGTTCAAAAAATATACTGGTGTCATCACAAATAATATAAATTCGAGTTCATTAGAGCTAGAGCAGGCTGGGAGATCAATGATACAAATCAAGAATAAAGAACTTGTACAGCGACAGTTCACAGAGTGCTGCTCACTAGTTTAGTTTTAAAAATTAAAACACGTTGATAACTTATAGAATACGATCCTCTCTAAATCATCACGACTGAATGTCGTCGTAGTCGATGCTTAAGGTGCCTAATAAATTTGAAGAAATACTTTATTGCGGAGTCTTTCGTGCTAGTTGATTTCTTGTACGTTGATCGCGACTTTTGTCATCAAAATAAAAAAAATGAGCAGCATGGGGTTCCAACATGAAGATTGTCTATAAATTCGCAAGCAATTTTTTTAACTCTCCCACAAAAAAATCTGTCATTTTTTAGACCCTCGACATGTTACCCTCGACCCTCGACCCTCGACCAAAACCCAGACTCGTTAATTAAAAATTAGATTCATTGCACCCAATGGAAACACAGAAAAAAACTCGTGGAACCTCTCAAAGCAATCCGTGACAAATGGCGAGTAAAACGTGTGAGAACAATTTGTGGGTGAGCTGCAAATGCCGGGTTAAAAAACTATTTACAGCGGTCTTGCCCAAGCGTGTATACAAGACACATACACCATGCATTAATTATCATCTTCGAGACAAGTCACACAGGTCTCATCATGGCTTCATTAAAAGCGCTCGTCAAACTCCTTCCCTCCTCACCCTTTCGCCTTTCCCCTTGTTTTCTTCATTGGCGTTCGCCGCTTCCTTTCTGCTTCCTGATTTATTTCCATCTTCCTCAATTTCTTGGGCTATGCTCGCGGTAAGTATCTCGTTTTTTAACCTAGATTTTATAGGTTGCCACATATTCGACAGCTGGTTCGACATTCGGTCTGGTCACATATATTTTCAAGGTCAGTATTTTCTGTACTTTTCCCCTTTTGTTTGAAGTATTTTCTTAGTTGTGTTCATTGCTTTGATTGTATTTGTTTTCAATTCTTTCCTTGTTATTATTTTCAGTTTCTGCAGCCGCACCCGGGATTTCAGTCTTACATGGGAGTCTAATTCCCTGTCGGATTACCGACGCGTAAGACTGCTATCCCTCAAGCCGCGTCTTTTTCTATGCTGTCCTCACAGTACCACTTTATCTTTCAGGTTGCAATTACCTAGTTTCAGCATTTATCCTTCTGATGGATCCCGTGAGTAGTACTTTCGCTGGCTTCGGTTTTTCTCCAATCTTATTGAGCGACTCTAGCGGGATGGCAGGTCTCGGTGGATAACACCCCTCCAGATCTGCTTAATTCTTCATATCCTACGAAAGCCGAATTCATTAATTGCTTTATTATTCATTCAAAATAATTCCTAGTTTAAAAACATAGCTAAAACACGTTTACCTGCATCGATTTTAAGTTCCTCTCTTCGATAGTGTACGTTTAGGTTTGTCCAGCTCTGCAAATATTCTCCAAATAGGAGATGTCGCCCTCCGAGTTGTCTTCTTGTTGTTTTTGCTGTGTTTTTAGCCATTATTTCGCCTAGTTCCAACTGTAGTTCTTACTCTTGAAACGTGTGAAGTGTCCGCCATTTTTTCTTTCACAACCAAAACAACTCAACCTCGTCCCCAGGTCTTCTTGGTTAACGGTGCATTAACCTGTATCGGGCTGCATTTTTGACGTCACAAAATTCTTTCAAATTTGGTCATCAGTAGCTGGTTATGGTGAATTCTGCGTGTGCTTTTAGCCAATCAGAATTGGGGAAATATTTTGAATGAATAATAATTAACAATTAATGAATGAGGCTGAGTATCGTCTGATAACACCCTCCGAGATCTCCATAATTCTTCATATGATACGAAAGCCGAATTCACACAGAAAACATCCTTTCCCCTGAGCAGCAACTCCAAAGCACCCCTCTGCTCCGTTTTTTTTTAAGAACAAATCCCAATTCTTGCCCGAGCAAATCCAGGCGATCAACATCCGTCATTTTACAGCGAAAGCTTTAGGAATCTATTCATCACCGTACGGAATATCGCGAATGACTTGTTGAAAACATTACTTGACAGCTTGATGACAGCTTTCATCGAAATTTAGCCAATGGGAATTGCCCGTGGCTGGGAGAAGCGGGTAATTCGAACGAATATAACGTATGCAAAACGGACAGTCCGTATTTTTAGCGTCTCTCCCCAGTCATGCTCTCTGTTTTCAGCCTCGTTCCAGACCTTTTGTTGGACTGCTCGCGCGTACTTGAATACGCAAAAATACGGACTGTTTTGGAAGTAGCTTTACCTCAAAAGAAAAACCAAGCAAAGAAAGAAGGAGGTCAAAAAGAGCAACAGCATTTGCAAATGGGCCTGTGCGTCTCTGGAGAAAGGGCTGATTTTGAAGGTGTAGTGCGTTACAACGGACAAACATTTCTTGGTGTCAGACACGGAGAAGGAACGTATCTCTATAAAAATGGCGACATGTACACGGGCCAATGGAAATGGAACCACAAACACGGGCATGGTGTTTTGACGCTTAGAAACGGCGAAAAGTGAGTTTATTTCACGTTCATTACTTTTTAATTACTAGTTTTGTCAATGAATAAATAAAACTTAAACGGCTGTCACAATTACTGGTAAACCCAGAAGTTTTGGCTATACGGCCGCACTTGGGGAATTTACCGAGTTATTTCCAATTAACTAATTAAAGTCAACTCGTTTAAAAAAACTGCGAGTGCGGCCGGGTTTTCTACAGTCTTAACCGGGTTATGCAAATCAAGGCAGAACAATAGATTTTCTTAACCAGGTTTGGTTTTTTTAAAACACCTCGCGAGGTAGTTTAACGTAGGTTTTTAAACCTTCATCTCCACCTACGCGTGAGAATGATCCAAGTTTTGGCTTTACCATGCACGTAAGCACAATTTCGAAATTGCTTCTTTCGCTCGAAGTTCAGTATTTCTTTCTCAGTAACACAAATGAGTTAAGACTTTGAAGAAGTCGACCCCTTTTTCTCGGTAATACGGGGTCAAATTTTGTCAGTCACTCTTAAGCGAGTGTTACGAGTGACTCTAGCGAGCGGAAGAAGAAACAAAAAACCGCGTGACATTGAATGACTTTGTGAAATTCTAAATTGAGTCCAGCCACTGATATAAATTAACCTGGTTAAACTCTTTTAACCAGGTTACGTTCTAAAGAATTTTTTACCAGGTTTTTCAAAAACTAACTCGGTTAAAGGAACAGTGTCACGACTGTGCGCACGCGCGAGCGTCATCTGTTTTTTCTTCAAAGACAATAGAACTGTCATATTTACTCGACAAGATTCTCAAGTAATATTTTAGACATTCGAAGAAGTGTTTCGTCTTATTAAAAATCTGGCTCGCGGCACGAAAACTAGCCTGTGTAGCAAGCGTTTCCGTTTGGTTTCGGAGCAAAACGAGACCGTGGAAGGGGATTTTCGGTTTTGATCGCGCGAGAAATTAAACGAGAACCAAAAAATGAAAGAGGGGGAGGAGAGGGGAAGAAAGGAAACCTTTCTTTCCTTCTTTCTTTCCTTTTTTCTTTCCGTCCTTTCTTCGCCACCCCCTCCCCTGTCCTTTAGTTGACTGAGGGGTCCTCTTTGCTTACTTTGATTACCTGCTAGAATCAGTTGGGTTCAAAACTTGCAAATTGGGAGGATCTCACGGCTCTAAAACAACATCTAGTAAACCGGCCGTTTTCTCCTCGTTTGTTCTGTTTGTTCTCGTTTTGTTTCGTTTATATATATATATATTTTTCTGGGGACTCAACACTTATTCGACTTGTGGAATTAGCTACCACTTTGAAATATTAATTAGCCAAGTGGACCCTACCAAAAAAGAGTTCATTTCATGCCCTGGCCAACGATGATTCAGTTATTCTGAATTGATTGATGTTAAACGCAACTTCGAATGTTTCTTTACTTTACTTTACTCTTTAATAATTCCAGTGTAATTCACTTTAATTGACAATCGATCTAAAAAATAGTATCGCTCAGTGTAATTCTATTTTGCCACCATAATTCAAATTTCAGAGTCTTTACATAGGTAGGTTATTTTTAAACATGATTTATAATTACTTTTAAAACGGTGGAAACATTCACTATAATTAACTTTTGGAAGGTAGTATTAAGTCGAATCCCGTATTTTCGAGGAGTTAAAAGACATTTAAAGTTGAGCAGGGAACTATAGTTTTTAACACACAAACTTTATTTCAGGACTTTTACAACTAGTGATCAAGGAAAAAAGCGAACCGAAGCGATGTGAAGTATAGCGGTACTGAAAAATAACAGTTAAACAAACACAAAGTCAAGATAAAACAACCTAAAAACTGAAAGAAAGCAATAAGGCAAACTAGAAATGCGAATGCAACAAACGAGATCCTTACAAGACGATAGCGGGATAAGGACGAAATACTAGGACGAGCAAAGATCCAAACATCAAACTGTAAACTGGANCAACATCTAGTAAACCGGCCGTTTTCTCCTCGTTTGTTCTGTTTGTTCTCGTTTTGTTTCGTTTATATATATATATTTTCTTCTGGGGACTCAACACTTATTCGACTTGTGGAATTAGCTACCACTTTGAAATATTAATTAGCCAAGTGGACCCTACCAAAAAAGAGTTCATTTTATGCCCTGGCCGACGATGATTCAGTTATTCTGAATTGATTGATGTTAAACGCAACTTCGAATGTTTCTTTACTTTACTTTACTCTTTAATAATTCCAGTGTAATACACTTTAATTGACAATCGATCTAAAAAATAGTATCGCTCAGTGTAATTCTATTTTGCCACCATAATTCAAATTTCAGAGTCTTTACATAGGTAGGTTATTTTTAAACATGATTTATAATTACTTTTAAAACGGTGGAAACATTCACTATAATTAACTTTTGGAAGGTAGTATTAAGTCGAATCCCGTATTTTCGAGGAGTTAAAAGACATTTAAAGTTGAGCAGGGAACTATAGTTTTTAACACACAAACTTTATTTCAGGACTTTTACAACTAGTGATCAAGGAAAAAAGCGAACCGAAGCGATGTGAAGTATAGCGGTACTGAAAAATAACAGTTAAACAAACACAAAGTCAAGATAAAACAACCTAAAAACTGAAAGAAAGCAATAAGGCAAACTAGAAATGCGAATGCAACAAACGAGATCCTTACAAGACGATAGCGGGATAAGGACGAAATACTAGGACGAGCAAAGATCCAAACATCAAACTGTAAACTGGACCAAGCGCAACTAACGAAGAACTGACGCGAAAATTATGATGAAGCTAAATATACGATATGCAGAAAAACCCTAACACGAAGGCCAAAGCTACGCGGACAATGAAAAACTAATGACCAAAAAACAACACTAAAGGCGCGAACACGAAAATAACTAAAAACGCGGCGAACATAAAAATACTATAAAGGTAACGGAAAACATTCCTCGCGCTTACACCCGGGAGTAATAAGTGAGCAAACCGTTTGTAAACCTTGGTAATTCAATCGAGTACTTGGTTACCAAGAGCCATAGGACCCAACAAGGTTCTATTATTTGGATTTACCTGACAGAGCTATTTCTAAAAAGAAATGAAAATTAATAATTTTGGCAATAAGAAAGAAAATCTGTAGCTTACCTTCCTCTGCTGGTAGCCTGAGATCAGGCCCAATTTTAGTGGTTCCCATACATTCTCTTTAACGGCTACCGCCTTGCCTGCCGGAATTATGCTATTTTCAAAGCGAAACGTACACTGTTCACAGTCTCCTATTTTTTCGTGAGATGATCGTTGAGATATAGCGCGCCTTACCGTTAAGGCGGCCATCTTGTTTTCAAATGTACCGAAGGGGCGGGCGTCGGGGATCATGATTGCTTTAGGGGGAGGGGGGCGCTTCCTCCCAAACCGCCTCCGCCCCCTGAGTAGTTTTGACACTCATGCAAGATGGCCCCCGATCTGGACCATCTTACGGAAAAATAGAGGACTGTGAACAGTCAAGAGCCATTATAGGTCCTATTAAGGCTCTTGGAACAGTCTACTCGCACCTTCAGTCACGTGCGTGGTCATTTTTCGTGTCTTGCGCTTTTCGCTCAACGGACTGAGAAGAAAAACGAGAGACTGCTTGTTGTCTATCGATGTTGTAACAAAAAGTGCCAGTAGTTTGGTTATGTCAGTCATCGATTCTATCTAATAACTTGCATAATCTAAAGAGTAAAACGGGTCTTCCATATTTTTTCTTTCACTTACACAGAATACGAGGTTTCTTCTATCGTAGTGAATATATAGGAACAGAACCTGGCAACTTATTCGCCGCTACAACGTGTTGTTGTTTGGGAGAGACAAGGTATGACCATCCATTCTATTCTAAATTCACTTTTTCATCCACCTTTTCTTCCGACAGTCCATTCATTCGTTTGTTCGTTCAATCGTCCAGTCGTTTTAATCACTGATTAAGTAAATCAGTGAGTAAATAAGCCGAGTGAGTGCGTGAATGTTTAAATGATTCATTCATTCATTCATTCACTCACTCATTCATTCATTCATTCATTCATTCATTCATTCATTCATTCATTCATTCATTCATTCATTCATTCATTCGTTCATTCGTTCATTCGTTCATTCGTTCATTCGTTCATTCGTTCATTCGTTCATTCGTTCATTCGTTCATTCGTTCATTCGTTCATTCGTTCATTCGTTCATTCGTTCATTCATTCATTCATTCATTCATTTATTCATTCATTCATTCATTCTTTCCTTCCATTTTTTCCCTCACTTTTTGATGCAGCGGACTCCTTTGTTCTTTAGACTCTTGCCTCTATATACGGATCGGTTGTAAATGATTCTTCCCGATTTGGCCTGGCACGAAAAATAGAGTTTGCGCTGTCCATGTCCGTGGTTAGAGGAGAAGGGATGGGGGCTGGTGGACGTTAAGGAGATGGGGGTGATAGGGCAAGAAATCGGTCACGTCTCAGGAACCGGCAAAAAATGAAGAAACGAAGCACCATCTTCTTTAGCTTCTTGTGATTTTCTTCCGCATCAATGTTTAATTTTTTGTTCGCACTAATCGGCTCCTGATGTGAGACATTTTGTGTAATTAATATGCTATTAACCCCTAATGATGGAATTAGGGCCGGTCGATTCCGCTAAAACGTTTTAAAAATTAAGTCGTTATTTTACCAGATCTATTAACAATTACTTTGCTTTTTAGCAATCAGAAAAGACATGGGCCTGCGAGACAAAGAGCGGAAGAAAACAGAAGGAGACGGGAGGGAAGAAAGCAACGTAGAGATGAATTCCGCAGGAATATCCTCCAGAGAGGCGAAGAAGAATCGGTCGTTTGAAATGACCGATTGTGCAATGTAAAACAAAAGACGTAGAAACGCGTAGGAGAGTAAAGAAGTTTCACAGCGATCGACAGTTCGCAGAGTACTGCTCACTAGTTTGTTTTAAAAATTAGAACGTTTTGACAACTCATAGAATACGATCCTCTCTAAAGCATCACGACTGAATGTCGTCGTCGATGCTTAAGGTCCCTAATAAATGTGTTGAAGAAATACTTTATTGTGTAGTCTTTCGTGCTAGTTGATTTCTTGTTTGTCGCGACTTTTGTCATCAAAATTAAAAAAATGACCAACATAGGGTTCCGATATGAAGATAGCCTGTTCCAGGCTCTAAGATAGTGCGGAAGACGCGAAAGGAAAAGGCACGCGAAAAGTTGTCCTGTTCCAGGTTCTCAGATAGTGAGGAAGACGCGAAAGACTCCCCAGTTTGCGCTTTCTCAATTCAGTGGACCCGACTATCCCGGAGCCTGGAACAGGCTAACATGAAGATTGTCAAAAAAATTCACAAGGAATGTTTTTTCCTAGTCTCCCACCCAGGCGTTTTCAGGGGAGCTCGTTTTTCATCAAAAATTATGCCCCATAATTGGAGGAAAATGATATTTCAACAAATAATTAAACTGGTAAACTGACCTCCGTTCTCTACAATTTGCTATGCAAATGCAAGTTGGTATCCTGACTTTGTTATTTAGTAAAAGGGAGTCATGCCCATTGTTACTTGATCTTTTCCTGTATGAAGGATGGGTACAAAGATTTTGGATTGGCGGGCTATTGGATTTTCGCGCCAATGGACCCTTGAATCAAAATGAAATGATCCAGTGGACCACCTCTTGAAATTCGCTTTGTCTCTAGAAACAGGATTTGACGGAGGGACTTCTGGTGAACGATATCAAGCAACAGCGGACCACTGATAAGCCGGCTCCATCGGCGGCACGGAGAACCAACCCATCCAAGCAAGAACGCCATCTTGTCAGTCCGCTTAAATTCCTCGCTAAAAATCTTGACTTGACTGAATCGGAGGAACCGAACACTAATAGCTTTCCATTACATAGGCTGGAATTCAAAGCAATGATACCAAGTCTTATCGGTATCTAGCGAAGAAGAAAAAAAACCGGTGCAACGAGACAAGGATCGTCACACCGCCATCACTCGCGGCTCCCATTCCCTCAATAATCTTCTGACATAGTAGCTTAAAAGCTTTTTTACAGGAAAACTCACAATGTATAATAAAAAAGATTAATTATGTCTACTAAAGATATTATGATAACAGTATAAAACTGATTAACCATGTCTACTACATCTTATTTACTCAATTCAATTACACAGATAATCAAAATGATAAAATTGAAATTGAAAAATACATATATATAAAAGTGATATCTTCATAATTAGGACAGTTTATACAGAACACGAGGATTCCTTAAAAGAATAAACTGCCTAGAATAAACAATAAAATATAAAAAAAAACTATATACAAGAAAATTCTAATCCTAATTAAATTTCAACGAAGCGATACGTATGAGCTTATTAGATAGAACCAGGAGCCGATTACTGATAGAACATAAAGTCACCTCACCTAGGCTAAAAATAGCAAAAAAGGGAACTATAACAAAAACAAAACCTATAAAAATCTTTCTTTATTGCGGGGTCGTAACAAGTTGTATATTTTGCCAACTGATCCCACACTTAAGCTTTAAATTTTGATCCCTGATCCCAAAATTGTTGCAAAACTTGATTCCTGATCCCGTGAATTTTTATGATCCCTCGATTCAATCTGGGTTGGATAAACTGCGTATACTTTATAAAAACTGAAAAAAAAGTGTTTCTCTTTTTTATTTCTTTTACAATTACTCACATCATTTACTGACTGGAGAATTAAGGTTGGTTCCAGTCTGTTCTTTCGAGTTATCACAATTTCTATCATACTGACGTTCCACTTAAAGCTTTCATTACAATAAATCTTGTCATAAACTTTTAGTTAAGTGCTCTGTTCGTGTTATGTGATAAATTCCGCAATTCACCAACAACACAAGAAAAAGAAAACATCAAGTTAGTTTAACGTAAAGAGACGTTTGCTCTGTAGTTGTACACTTAGCTTGGTCTCAGTCGTCGCCTTGGTAGCACAGGTCAACCAACTAAGTTCAGGTGTGCCACAAGTCATACATCACCATCTGACTATTTTTATACACGTTTCATACTGGTGTAGGTAGCCTGAAGCTGTACGCACGCGAGGGGAAAAGTTGTAGCGATGAAGGCGGCCCAAACGTGGGATCAGTTGGCAAAAAATATTCGTCACAGAAAACGCTCCAATCATATCAGGCCTGATCTGAGGTCATAACCGGTCCCCGCGAGCTTGAGATAATTCCCGGGGATTGACCAATCAAGAAAGAGCTCGAGCATTCCGATTTGCATTTCGGCGAACTCCGGAAAATGGGTTCGGCAGCTTTCCGACAAGCTGTTCCGCACAGCAGTTTGTGGCTAGAAAGTTGCCCTATTTCCTTTGTTAAGCAAATTTGTTGTAATTAGATGTACTTCAGTAATTAACAGCGGTATGACTCCAATTATCATAGTTGCCATTGGATTATTAAGCGGAATTCTGATGGTGTCTATGCTTGCACTGTTGGTGATATTTTGCACAAGACGAAAATATGGAAAAGCGAGTTTGACGACGGGACAAGCTGATACACAATACCAGTAAGCTTTAATACATATATCAGATTTGTTTTTTCAAGAATTACCGTTGAAAAAAGGAAATTTCGTCTACCAAAGAAGTAATTTCACATGCTAAGTAGGCTGATCGAAACCCAGCGTTAGATATACAACATATAAATTGAACAACAAAATACGTAAAGTCAAGACTCGTGAGGCTCCCAATCATGCCCAATACAGGGCGAAAAATATACGGCAGAACCGTACCTTTAGAGAACTTATTAGGTTCTAGAAAGGAAATCATTTTTTTCTATCCCTATTTTCTGGCAAGAGGAACTAAACAAGCTAAACAGTTGTGAAATGCTCAGTGGATTTCCTCTAAAGCCTGGTTTCCATATGATCGTCCAATCGCGATCGCCCCACAGGTTTCAAATAATAATCAGGCGATTGGGAGGATTATCTGGAAACACTACCAGGACGATCACAAAGGACCGGGATAATAATGCGATTTAATGCGATTGAGACTATTATATATATGGAAACCAGCAATCCTTCCAATCTACATGATGGTCTCAAAATTTTTATAAATAAATGGGGTGATCAGGATAATTGGGACTAACATATGGAAACCATGTAGGCTGAATTTCAAACCCAACCCCACATCAACCCAGTACAACGTGGGAATTTGGAAACAATCCTTGCTCAANGCTCAGTGGATTTCCTCTAAAGCCTGGTTTCCATATGATCGTCCAATCGCGATCGCCCCACAGGTTTCAAATAATAATCAGGCGATTGGGAGGATTATCTGGAAACACTACCAGGACGATCACAAAGGACCGGGATAATAATGCGATTTAATGCGATTGAGACTATTATATATATGGAAACCAGCAATCCTTCCAATCTACATGATGGTCTCAAAATTTTTATAAATAAATGGGGTGATCAGGATAATTGGGACTAACATATGGAAACCATGTAGGCTGAATTTCAAACCCAACCCCACATCAACCCAGTACAACGTGGGAATTTGGAAACAATCCTTGCTCAAACCTTACATATACCTCTGCCCCTGGAGATACTTCATCAAGTCAAAATATCAAGTATGCCCCCACCCCAAGGGACTGAATAAGGCGGCACTTGGTTGTTAGCCTGAAAACAAAAAGGTACTGATGCTTGAGGGAGTTTCTTTAAATTAAATTATTTCTTCAAATTAAATTATGACCTTTTAAAGCTTACCGGTAATTAAAAATTTATTTTTATCGATTTAAGTGAGATAGTTCATGTTGTGAAAGCTGTTGCCATTGTGACTAGTGTACATGTAAACTTATCAATGTTTCAGTCACTTTTTGAGTGCTAAGTATTCCCCTTAGTGAGGGTTAAATGTTGGATTCAGTACCCAGAAAAATTGTCCTTTCCCCCGAATAGATGTGTCCCTTCAAGAGAGGCAACAAGTACAAAGGTTATGTGAACATTTTTCCAGGACCAAGTTGTGTCCTTTGAATGGAGGTGTCCTAAAGGGAAGTTTCCACTCACTGTATACAGCCATTTGTGAACACTGTAGATACATTCACCCTCTGTGAACCCCATGATGGGCTTTCCCCCCCCTTTCTCATTTCCCACACAGGCAGTAGACCTGCATCTTACTCTTCAAAGGGAATTGTTTTTGGAAGTTGTTTCAAGTGATTGCTTGTAATGTACAGGGTGTTCATTAGGCATCGGAGATTGGAGAATTCTCCATTAACCACGCAGAATGCTCCGGCTAACGTTCAGTCCTGTGACTAGTTTTTATTCACATGTGGAGCCTTTTTCAAAATATTCACCTGTAACATTACAGCTTTCTCATAATACTAGAGAACAATTACTTTTGGAACTTATACGACAAAAAACAAGATTTCAAAGTAAGTTAAATGAGAAAACTTCCTACGTTCTACGTCTTGAACATTTTCGAAGTCCCATGTCTAGGGCGTCACTTAGTCGACCTAAAAGTGGATTTTCACCCGAAGATGACTTGGTATATAAAAATAAAATTACTGTCTACAGAATTAACATTACTTATTCATAGAGCATGCTTGCATTAACAGGGTTCGCACAGGTTATTCAAAACCTGGAAAGTCATGGAATTTTAGAATATCATTTTCCAGACCTGGAAGGTCATGGAATGTAATTGCCAGTCCTTGAAAGTAAGGGAAAATTGAAGATTTGTTTATGGTTAATCATACCCTTCACTAACAAAAATATCCTCACCTTGATTCTTGGAGACATGGGTTTATGTCTGTGAAATTGTTAATTCCTAAACAACCATTCACACTTGCAGTCTTTGATCAAAAGCATACAAGTTAGTAATAACCTATTAAAAAGTAATAACTAATAATAGTGTAAAACTAATTGATTAATAGGAAAACTAGTGGTAACACTCATCAAAAAAATTTTATTAATAACCATGCATGCACAAAACAAGGAAAGTCAACATGAGACTTTCCAGGAAGTGGGCAGGTGGGAATAAAATGCTAGTTCTAGTGTACAGTAAATTCCCTCTCTGTTAGCATGACTAAAAGTGAGAAGTGCCATGCTTGAGCAAATGTCTGACAGCAAGCCCGCTTGGCCTATACTCCACTAGATATACTTGCAGGTGGAAAAGCCTTATGACTATATAGGCGAATCTTTGTTTACGTTTTTTGCCTCATTAACATATGTGCTCATCATTATCTAATGAAGCTAATAAAACAAAACCTCTGAATATTGAAAGAGCATGATGATTTCAGTTATCTCTGAAAATTTGAGCCTGATATATATATAAGAAATGGTTTCGGAGAAATAACAACTTCTTTTTTAAAAACTCGAAATTTTGCAAAGAATGTATGGCTCATTGACTTTTTTGCCACTCAGTTTTTGATGGCTGATATTTTCTTCAATATTGCTCGCAAAGAGCTGAAAAATGTACAAATTGCTCAAGTTAATCAACTCTTTCAAGGTTTGAATTTACTTTGCACATACGGCCAGAGCCTCTGTGAGTTAAGTCGAATGCTAATGAGGAAAAATGTAAACAATGATGTCAGCAAAGATTCACCTATCAGCTACATGTTTTAGGTAATAAGATTAGCTACATTGCAATTATGTTTCAATTTGTAATTTTGTTAAAGTTTTGGGGTCATCTGCATGTGATCTTGCTAGTCTGAACAGGGATCGAAATTAAAAAGATCCCCAGGTTGTCTTTTGGCGATCAACTGGAGAAGTATAGTTGCCAGATGCAGATTTTTAAGTCACCAGTTTAAATAATTTAAATGACTCAGCTCATAGTATGGCGCGATCCATCAGATTTGATTGTTGAAAATTTCGGAGACAGAAGTCGGTATAAATTTGGAGGTGAACTGGCTTTGTTTATGTGATTTGGCACATTTTTTATGATGAAAGCAAAGCAAGATAAGATGAAATGTTTGTTTTAACTTTACTCTTTTAATTTAAATCTAAATCATAAAGAAATCTGGTCGCCAATGTGGCGACTAAACCAGAAAATTTAGTCTGCAAGGAGAAAATGTTTGTCCCATTGGCGACCGTATCAGTTGCAATTTCGAGCCCTGCTGAAAAAGGTGTGGCTAGTTTCCAGATCCCTGACCCTGTAGCCTTGTTGTGATCTACAGGTTGATTCCTGAAACTTTTATTTTAACTGCCTCGTTGTGTGTAAAATAAAATTCACCTACTGTCTCTTTCTTCACTATTAATAATAAATTGTTTTTGTTTTATTAGCCAGAGATGTTTCTGGACCCAGATTGGACTGGGGATGCCGAGTAAGTTAATGTTTTTATTTATAAAATAGGTAGAAGTAACTGTGGTGATAATACTAAGATTATTACAATTATCTTATCATGCAGAAACCTGATATCACACTGTATTGACCTGCTGAAGGCGTGTCATATTCTCACGGGACGGCTTGTGTCCTATACCATGGATAGTTCAGCAAATGTCAAATCACCAAATGAAATGGTAAACATCGTTACCGCTGCCAAGGATATTCAACCAAGGTAATGATTAATTAACAGAGACATATTCACTATTGGTACATGTGGCATTTGTTTTTTCTCAACTGTTGTTGTGATGTTATTAATTGCATATTTGTAAATATAGTGTACTTTTTTTATCAGAGTGGATAACCTTGTTGAAGCTATGTATACACCATCAGATTCTAAGCAAATTGAAGAGAGGTAAAGCAAGAATGCAGTTTTCATTGTTGAAAATAATACCGCAAGGCCTAGCCTGTCACTATGACATTTGTCTTTAGCCCTGTAAACCAGGCAGAAAACTGACCCACAACATATCTTCCACAAGCTAGTTGCAAGGATAAGACCATTTTTGATACAAGAACAGAAAAACAGATGCAACAGGACGTCATAGGCGTGTAAATAAGTAAACTTATAGTTTGTGATGGTCATCAGAAGTGACTACCTGGTTACTTCAAGTTGGGCAGTTAATTCAATAATATTGATACTTCTTCCTTGTACAAGAAAACAACTTCCAGCAGCTTTTTTCACATCTTGTACTTCAATCTTGTTTGTGATATATGCAAAGCTATGTAAAAGTATTAATGATTACCGGCATACAACAGAAGAAAGCATGGTTCCCTTCTTACAATGAATCAATGACTGAAAATTGTGGGCTCTTAAACACAGGCAAACCAAAACTGAGCTGATCAAATCCAACAGTTTATGATGCCCGTGCACTTATTTTGGTTCCTGGTATGGAATACAGCAATAATTAATTGTAATAAATTTTGTTATACTACAGTGAGTGAAGCAGAATATGACTGTGCATTAATTCTCCATTGGTATTTTAGGTCCACTGCCCTGTACAAATCAGTCTGCCATTTACTCCAGGTAAATTATATTGCTAAATGAGTGACTCAGGGTTTTATAGTGTAAGCTGCGGGGCCTGAATATGCTTGTATTCTGTCACAAGTATAGGAGCACTTTCTGCTGATTATTGGCAAGTAAACTGTTTTTTCTCTTTTTGCTCTCTATTGGCTGGTATAGAACAAAAGCAGAACATTTTATAAAGGAACACTTTGATTGTGTTATCTATTGATTAATACCCTATTGTAAGCGTTTTTTGAAATAAAAATGCTCTATCCTATTCTAAAAAATTGGAGTCAAAGAAAATTTTTTTTCCAAGGTATTAGATAGCAGATAACCACATCTGAGTAATCTGCGTTACGCTTGCAATCTGTTGATAGGCATGGAAATGTAATTTTTGTACTTTCAGCTAGTTTTCCTCACTAGATCTAGTAATAACACTTAATGTGTACTTTTATCAGTGAAATAAAGATTATTACCGTTATTTTTATTGTTGTTGTTGTTGTTGTTGTGAGGCTAAAGTTTTCACATGCAGAGAAGTTACATGTATTATTATTATTATCATTATAATTGTTATTAAGATGCTTGCATGTAAACACTGTTTATCATTTGCTTGTAAAAGGTCATCCAAGGTGCATCCAGCAAGCCAGAGAGCTTTGGTTGGGCAGATGAGATTATTGTTTTCATGGAAAAGCATATGGAAGCCATGCAGTCTGAGTGCAGTGACTCCAAATGTTCATCATGCTTGTCTATACAGAGTACAGCAAGTTCTGCCGAGGCATGTCAGCTCTGCCGACAGCCAGCTATGGTGATCACAAACCAAGCATATTGTTACTCTTCCCATAACCCGTCTACTGTACTGTAACTTGTCACATCACTTATCTTCAGCATTATAGGCTGATTTAGTAACAGAACGGGAACGTTATTTTACAACAGAAAAGCGCGCGGAAAGGACTAAACTCAACTTCCGGTGCCGAATTTGCCTCTCTGTCATTGGTCTAGACTTTCTCAAAGCCCGTTTCCGCAACTTATCTCGCTCGTCTCACGACTTCGTCGGTCACTTTCGCTTGCTTCGCGAGCGTCCACAGCGCCTTTGGCACTCACTCAGTTGACTTATTGCAAGTTTACCATTGGTCAAGCCAACTGTTTTATTTCCGCGCGGTCATCAATTGACGTTCCTGCTCTGTTGCTAAATCAGCCAATTTTTTTCACCATTGACAAAGTGGATCACTAAGGCCTGTTTATATGAAGAAAACCTCTCCCAGGTAGAAGGGTCACTTTCCCGGCAGCCAAATCAACTATTACTTTTTAAAAGGGAGCGTTTATGTGAGCAAAAAAGTTGACCCCAGATCCTGGAGCTAACAGCCCTAGTGCTGCATTCTCCACATTGTTTCACCTTAACAAAGTTTACCCGACTGGGCGAGCCAAAGGGTTTATATAAAGCCGACTGTCCAGCCGGATCACCCTTTTGTGATGATAGAGTGACCCTCCTACATGCAGATTTTGTTTCTCATTTAAATGGTTTGCCATGTTTTGTAAGGAAATGTATGATAAGTTGGCTCGCCCGAGGGAGCTCACCTTCACGGAGTTGACTTGACTTGGCAAGCCAAAATGTTTATACATATAGAGACTGTGGTAGGCTCCCCTTCACGTCATAGCCAACTTTTTGTTTCTCATTTAAATGGTTCACCATGTTTTGTAAGGTAGGCTCGCTCGGGGTAGCTTGGGTAAGCAGGTGACCCCGTTTTTCCCGGGACAACTTTTCTTCTTACCAACGCGGCCTAATGAGTAGATAACCCGACTCTTTTACCAGTAGAATGTGTGCATCCACTGATATAGGTTCTTGTCTACTGTCCGCCATAGCCATCCAGTAGATTTTCAAAGGCATGTACCAGTTTTTTATTTTTTTTGCTGTTGTTATTGAAAATTCATACATGTTCATTTTTGAAGTCTGTAGCACCTACCGTCAGCCTTGAATTTTAGTTAAACATGTTAATCTACACGACAAAGGATGTGGCACATGCAGGATTTTGGTCAGCTGGCATTCAGTTTCCTATAATGCCCTTTTTTGTTTTACTTGTGCATATAAATGTGAGAACTGCTGCATGGCGTGAGAGGTGAATGTTAAACTTTGGCAAGTTTTTCACCTTACTGGCTTCAAGTTTTCTAAATTATAGCAACGATCAAAGACGACGAAAGCAACGAGTATGTCAAAAAAGCTATTCGATAGGTTTAGTAAAAAAAAAACAATTTTTTCATGCAACACACTTTTTGTGCATTTCTTTGCCGTCTCTGCACGACCACGACGTGAAATTTTCTTGCGCGATGCTTTGTGGAGGACTTAGACACACGGGGACGAATTTTTCTTTCGCTTTCTAAACCTGGGTGCGTCCCCCAGAATTAAACATAAGGAAAATTCACCGACATTTGACATTTCAAGTGGGTTAGAGTCAACGCGACAATGTTGCAAAAACCCCCCTCATTTTGCGAACTCATTTTGTGAAGTTTTCGACGCTGTTTCCGTCGTCGTAGCCTCCCCGCAGACGTCCGTTGGGGTTCGTTTGTCACGCATTCATTTCTCCCCCACGGAGAGGAGAGAAATGAATGCGTGACAAACGAACCCCAACGGACGTTTGAGGGGAGGCTACGTCGTCGTCGTCGTCGTCGTCGCGAAAGCTCACTATTTTCTGAGGGATGGACGTTCGTCCAAACACCTTTGGGGGCTTGCAAGATTACTTGTGGAAGCCCACTTAGTTATACACATATCCTACTCCTCTGAGCCTTAAGTAAAGAGATACAATACTGAATATACATGTACAAAAACTCCTTAAAAAGGACAGACAGAAAGTACAGTCACATTATCCGGTGGACTTATAAGAAGGTAAGGTAAATTTATGCAACAAGTAGCAAGTTTGATAAATATAAATGCCTAAGGCAAGGTACAAAATGTGTGCATCCACTGATATAGGTTCTTGTCTATTGCTCGCCACAGCCATCCAGTAGATTTTCAAAGGCTGCTGTTGTTATTGAAAATTCATACATGTTCACTTTTGAAGTCTGTAGTACCTACCGTCAGCCTTGAATTTTAGTTAAACATGTTAATCTACACGACAAAGGATGTGGCGCATGCAGGATTTTGGTCGGCTGGCATTCAGTTTCCTATAATGCCCTGTTTTCTGTTTTACTTGTGCATATAAATGTGAGAACTGCTGCATGGCCTCATGAGAGGTGAATGTTAAACTTTGGCAAATTTTTCACCTTACTGACTTCAAGTTTTCTAAATTATAGCAACGATCAAAGACGACGAAGGCAACGAGTACGTCAAAAAAGCTATTCGATAGGTTTAGTAAAAAAAACAAAACAATTTTTTCATGCAACACACTTTTTGTGCATTTCTTTGCCGTCTCTGCACGACCACGACGTGAAATTTTCTTGTGCGATGCTTTGTGGAGGACTTAAACACACGAGGACGAATTTTTCTTTCGCTTTCTAAACCTGGGTGCGTCCCCCAGAATTAAACATAAGGAAAATTCACCGACATTTGACATTTCAAGTGGGTTAGAGTCAACGCGACAATGTTGCAAAAAAACCCCTCATTTTGCGAACTCATTTTGTGAAGTTTTCGACGCTGTTTCCGTCGTCGTCGCGAAAGCTCACTATTTTCCACTTAGTTATACACATATCCTACTCCTCTGAGCCTTAAGTAAAGAGATACAATACTGAATATACATGTACAAAAACTCCTTAAAAAGGACAGACAGACAGTACAGTCACATTATCCGTTGGACTTATAGGAAAGTAAGGTAAATTTATGCAACAAGTAGCAAGTTTGATAAATATAAATGCGTAAGGCAAGGTACAAACAAGCTCCTCTGTTAGTATAATTAAAAGTTTCTAAAAGAATATATTAATCTTCATTTTTACGGAAGGGTGAAATGGTCATGCGAGAACCCAAAGAGCGGACAGGTCTGACCTACCTTGACCTTTTCCTCGTTATGTGGCTTCCCTTCCAAATGCCTGCCACTCAGGCTGACCTTTTGTGAGGGTTTGGAAGCAAATGTTAAGATTTTAGATAATGTATTAAAGAAATGTTGATTCGAATGGATTGTATATATCTTAATCTTTTATACCTGTACAGTTTTAGATTTTTAGTTGGTTTTATATAGATTTGATCAATTTAATACATTTTATGCTTAGTTAGGTGTCCCCTGATAGCTGAGGGTTTCCCCTCTGCTAGATATTCTATTGACACGTTAATAAAGTTCATTCATTCAGTCATTCATCATGAAGTATGATATTTTATGAAGGATTTTTTATGTTAATGCCGTTGACACTCTAACTTTTTATAGTTACATAAAACCCTAATTTTGAATTAAAGTGATCTTGTCAATTATAGCATTCATTTCTATTCAGTTATTGCTCCTGAATCTAGGATACACTTTTGTTTAACCAACGAATCGGTTCCTGAAAGAGCACTCCCTTGCGTAATCCGTATAAGTATGTCCAGCGCAAGAGCCCTTCCAGGCTGACAATATTTTGTATCGAATTTAACCGTCCTGGTTTGAAGTAGCGAAAGGTTTAGGAAATGCACATGGGTTTTGGAAACCGTAGCCTGAGAAAACAGTCGACATTTCGCGACGGGCCTTCGCAACGCCACCACTTGCTTCTCCGCGAAATGAATTTTTGCGCTCGTTTCTTTCTTTCTTCCTTCCTTCCTCCCTCTCTTTCTTTCTTTCTTTTTTTCTTTTTTTCCTTCCTTCCTTCCTTCATTTTTATTGGTTAATCCAAGAACAGTTTTATTTTCTCTCTGCGCACAAATAGTAATGGCTAGTCTAGGTGGGCAGTGTCTATACTAAACCGTAGCCACGTAGCCGCATACCCCAGGAGTTTGGGTTTGGGTTACGGTTAGGGTTAGGGCTAGGGTTGTGGTTAGAGTTAGTGTTGGGGTAAGTGTCAGTGTTAGGGTTAGCTGCGTAACCCCTTAGCCGCGTAGCCACGTAGTCACTGTTATAAGGGTACAGCTTCGAAATGGCCAGGTGTATATTCTGCAGTTACTCCACGACAACTACGTTCATACACTTCCGTAGTTCCCTCAAAACCATACCCGATTCCAGACCAAAATCCCGGGGAAGGGACTCTGCATATGAAAGGGGTGGGGATGCTCGTCGTCTCGCTTAGGGGTGTAAATTTCGGATTTTGGTCTCACTTAGGGTGTTCTGGGCAAAACGCCATCATACTTAGCCGTGAAGGTCTCGTTTAGGGTTGCACGTAAAAGAATATAAAAATATATATATTGTCTGTGTTCTTTTAGGAGTTAAAAAAAGCTCGGGCCACGCCTAGATCGGTCTCCTTTAGGGGTTTCATTCAAAATTTCCAAAGAGCATCCCCACCCCTTTCATATGCGGAGTCTCCCCCCCCCCCGGGACCAAAATGGGCAAAATGTAAAAGTCGATGCCCGTTTTCAGAACGAAACAGCGCATAAACCCTACCCTTTGGGGCGGCACATAACTATATAGCTTGTATAAGGGACTACTCCCCGGGGCCAGCGGAAGTCCTTTATATGTAATATGCCCACACAAGCACTGCCAGCAGCATATTCCCGTGGTGGGGGGAGGGTACTGCCACATATGGGCTATATAGGTATGTGCCGCTGTGAAGGGTATGATTTTCAAGCAGTTTACTCTAGGATAGGGTATATAAATAAGAGCGTTTGGGTCTAGAATAGGGTATCATTTTTCAGGAAACCGATCAGTTGGTTGAAGATTTTATCAAGACTAGGGAAACAGCTACTCTTGGATAGGGGGGATTTGGGGAGTTTACTCTAGTATAGGGTAGCAAAATTCAGCTGAACTAGCTCTGGTATAGGTTAAGGGTTCCAGGGTCCCAGCGGCACATCCCCACAACAGTACCCCCCTCCCCCCCACCGGGAGCATATTATGACTATTATGCTACTTCTTCGCGCACAATCTATCAGAGCCTAGACGAGATGCGGCTTGAGTTGAGCATACTTTGCTTTTTTGTAGCTAAAGAAAAACTAACGAAATGAAATTTTTTTTTCATTTGATTTAGCTGCTACCCCCCGGGGGGTACTCCCATATATGGGCTATATAGGTAAGTGCCGCGGAATAGGGTGTGGTTTTTGAGGTTCTCGGTCCTTAAATAGGGTATCTTTTTTTACCCTTTTGTTTCTGTGTCCCTGGTGTGGTCCTTAGATAGGGTAGCTTAACTGTATTATCTAATACAGTGAAACCTGTATTAAGCGGACACTCTCGGGGAATGCTGTAGTGTCCGCTTAATACAGGGTGTCCTCCTAATACAGGTTTTAACAGATAACGTCATATAAGGTGTCAAATGCCATTCAAATGAACAGTGGACACGTTTAGAATACTCCCAGAGACTATGACGATATACGTTTGCATTAATTTCTTTATTTAAGTAGACCAGTTGATCAAAGTACCCAACCTCGTCCCCAGGGCTTTTCCCTTAAAAAATGGGTGGGGCGGGAAAAGGCCCTGGCATCGGCTGGTCACGTGTCCCCTCGTACACCCTAAAATCCTGGGTGTAATAAATTAGCGCTATGTGAAAAGCTAAAATTATGCGTAACCTCACAGCGCGCGATCTTGGGCGGCCTTTTATATCTCTTGATGAGTAACGAAAAGTTTTACAAGATTTCTTTTTTGTCACAGATACTGGCTATGGTAATTTTTTGCTTTCCTCCGATTTCTATGAAGGAGACAGCGAGCGGTAATATTTGTAAAACTTCCTTTATAGAGCGATATAATTGACAAACAAGCTATCTACATGCATAAAGTTTATACTGGCATGGAAAAGTCCATTTTCGCGACTCTTTTGATATTTTATTTATTTCTTGCGAAGTGGACCGCCGTACACAACCTAGTTCTATTAACCTTGACTCTCAGCCACATCATAGCGACACGCGTTGATTTAGACTTATCTAGTATGACCTGTATTTTTAAAAAATTCATTGACCTCTGCGAGACTTGACCGAAACCGGAAACCGTGCATGAAAAGTTTCTGGCACCCAGGGTATCAAACGACTGGTAACGAAGAAAGACTTGGGTCCATTTAAAATTGACAGAGCTGTAGTTGATTCCAATCGATCGGTCAATCTTCCCTTTGATATAAGGAAAATCCTTTATACTTATCCTCGGAAGAGAAAAGATATAAGAGATCTTAAAATGTTTCAGATCGGCGACCTGTCATCGTTCCTGGCTGGAGGGCTGACTTGCATCCGGCGCGGAGATTTGTTTGTTTCATGGTCGGGTTGTAGAGAAGACCAGACTCCATAAAGCATTTTGATGAACAATTCTATTTCAATTAAGTTCAATTTGTTTAAATTCACTGCAGATCCTAGAGGCAAAGGTCCGCATTTTTGTTTGACATTGGACAAAATCACTTTCTGTTTGATCGTACAGTAATTCCACAGTCACGATGAATTTCAGTCGAAGTACTCCTCGATAACAGCTTGTCTCAACTCTGAAGCATTGACATATTTTGTACGTGACAACGTAGAGCCGGTACGCCCTTTCATAAACTTGTAGCATTTGAATAATACGCAATAAAATGGATTTTAAGCTTTTGAATCGCACAGACGCGAAAATATTGACATACAGTTCGCGATATTATTATTTTCCATTGTTGCTCCGTTCGACTTCTATCAGCGCAAAACCAGCGGGTTGCATATAAATTAGCTTCTCAGGAATATTTAGGCTGTGCACGTGACCAGCCGATGCCAGGGCCTTTTCCCGCCCCACCCATTTTTTTAAGGGAAAAGCCCTGGGGACGAGGTTGCAAAGTACCGTAAACATAGATTCCAACTAAAATTTGAAGAAATCAGATGAGTGAAACAAGCTCTATACATACAAAACGAAATAGAAAACATAACTGTGCGGTGAAACTAATCAAATAAGTTCGTCAAGTCACGTTTTTTAAGGTAAAAAATGAAAATTTGTGTGTGGCAGCCTTTCGCATTTCCGGTGTCTGGCATGTTGGATGGTGGAATTTAATTACAAGTGTCCGTTTAATACAGGTTGGCAACAATAAAAATGACCATTTCAGGTACTTTTTAGGTGTCCGCGTCCGCTTAATAGAGGTGTCCGCTCAATAAAGGTTCCATTTAAAGTAAATAAGAGAAATAAATTTGGGGACTTCGGCTACTGTCCGCTTAATAGAGGGTGTCCGCTTAATACGGTGTCCGCTTAATACAGGTTTCACTGTACTGGAGTGTGAAAACGCCCGCCTAAACGAACATTTTTTTTTTAAATTAGGCTTATTCTAGTATTTTATGCTTGATGCTATACATCCAATGTTACAGAGAAGAAATAAAGTTTCCCTTTTCATGCTATTAATAATTTTGTTTTTTCCTTGAATAGGGTGTCATTTTTCGGCTTTCGGCCTTAAAAAGGGTATCATTTTTCGCTTTCTTAGTCCTTTTACGAACCTTCGCGGCATACCCCTATCCAAAATTCGCCGGAGTACCCCCCACTTCCCCCGGGCTGCTACCAAAGAGCAGCGAGTCTCAAGTTCTAGAACGAAACGAGGGAGCCTGGAACGAGGGTTTACTTGGACCTAGTTTTCTCTCGGCGCAACTTGAAATATTCGCCCAGGTACAAAATCAAAAACGGAGTGGCGCAGTATGTTTCCCTCGCACTTTTCAGTTAATGATTTCGGCGTGTTTGCCGTTGTATTGGTGTTTGGATTGATAGTTATTCTCCTTTTCACGTTTGACTTTGTGAGTATGCTTAATAAGTGGCAAGCGCACTTCGCCATGCAGATGAACACAAGTAAACAGTGATTTTGTGCTAAAATGGGGAGCTGCATGTTTGGAAGAGAATTCATTCTACTCCACGTATGCAAAATTTAGTTAAAATGGAAAAAATACTGGTATTCTCTGTCCAAGGCCAGCTGATTCTTTTTTTCCTTCCTTCCTTCCTTCATTTTTATTGGTTAATCCAAGAACAGTTTTATTTTCTCTCTGCGCACAAATAGTAATGGCTAGTCTAGGTGGGCAGTGTCTATACTAAACCGTAGCCACGTAGCTGCATACCCCAGGAGTTTGGGTTTGGGTTACGGTTAGGGTTAGGGCTAGGGTTGTGGTTAGAGTTACTGTTGGGGTAAGTGTCAGTGTTAGGGTTAGCTGCGTAGCCCCTTATATTTTCCGCGTAGCCACGTAGCCACGTAGTCACTGTTATAGAGGTACAGCTTCGAAATGGCCAAGTGTATATTCTGCAGTTACTCCACGACACTACGTTCATACACTCCCGTAGTTCCCTCAAAACCATACCCGATTCCAGACCAAAATCCCGGGGAAGGGACGGGGAAGGGACTCTGCATATGAAAGGGGTGGGGATGTTCGTTGTCTCGCTTAGGGGTGTAAATTTCGGATTTTGGTCTCACTTAGGGTGTTCTGGGCAAAACGCCATCATACTTAGCCGTGAAGGTCTCGTTTACGGTTGCACGTAAAAAAATATAAAAATATATATATTGTCTGTGTTCTTTTAGGAGTTAAAAAAAGCTCGGGCCACGCCCAGATCGGTCTCCTTTAGGGGTTTAATTCCAAATTTCCAACGAGCATCCCCACCCCTTTCATATGCGGAGTCCCCCCCCCCGGGACCAAAATGGGCAAAATGTAAAAGTCGATGCCCGTTTTCAGAACGAAACAGCGCATAAACCCTACTCTTTGGGGCGGCACATACCTATATAGCTTGTATAAGGGAGTACTCCCCGGGGCCAGCGGAAGTCCTTTATATGTAATATGCCCCCACAAGCACTGCCAGCAGCATATTCCCGTGGTGGGGGGAGGGTACTGCCATATATGGGCTATATAGGTATGTGCCGCTGTGAAGGGTATGATTTTCAAGCAGTTTACTCTAGGATAGGGTATATAAATAAGAGCGTTTGGGTCTAGAATAGGGTATCATTTTTCAGGAAACCGATCAGTTGGTTGAAGATTTTATCTAGACTAGGGAAACAGCTACTCTTGGATAGGGGGGATTTGGGGAGTTTACTCTAGTATAGGGTAGCAAAATTCAGCTGAACTAGCTCTGGTATAGGTTAAGGGTTCCAGGGTCCCAGCGGCACATCCCCACAACAGTACCCCCCTCCCCCCCACCGGGAGCATATTATGACTATTATGCTACTTCTTCGCGCACAATCTATCAGAGCCTAGACGAGATGCGGCTTGAGTTGAGCATACTTTGCTTTTTTGTAGCTAAAGAAAAACTAACGAAATGAAATTTTTTTTTCATTTGATTTAGCTGCTACCCCCCGGGGGGTACTCCCATATATGGGCTATATAGGTAAGTGCCGCGGAATAGGGTGTGGTTTTTGAGGTTCTCGGTCCTTAAATAGGGTATCTTTTTTTACCCTTTTGTTTCTGTGTCCCTGGTGTGGTCCTTAGATAGGGTAGCTTAACTGTATTATCTAATACAGTGAAACCTGTATTAAGCGGACACTCTCGGGGAATGCTGTAGTGTCCGCTTAATACAGGGTGTCCTCCTAATACAGGTTTTAACAGATAACGTCATATAAGGTGTCAAATGCCATTCAAATGAACAGTGGACACGTTTAGAATACTCCCAGAGACTATGACGATATACGTTTGCATTAATTTCTTTATTTAAGTAGACCAGTTGATCAAAGTACCCAACCTCGTCCCCAGGGCTTTTCCCTTAAAAAATGGGTGGGGCGGGAAAAGGCCCTGGCATCGGCTGGTCACGTGTCCCCTCGTACACCCTAAAATCCTGGGTGTAATAAATTAGCGCTATGTGAAAAGCTAAAATTATGCGTAACCTCACAGCGCGCGATCTTGGGCGGCCTTTTATATCTCTTGATGAGTAACGAAAAGTTTTACAAGATTTCTTTTTTGTCACAGATACTGGCTATGGTAATTTTTTGCTTTCCTCCGATTTCTATGAAGGAGACAGCGAGCGGTAATATTTGTAAAACTTCCTTTATAGAGCGATATAATTGACAAACAAGCTATCTACATGCATAAAGTTTATACTGGCATGGAAAAGTCCATTTTCGCGACTCTTTTGATATTTTATTTATTTCTTGCGAAGTGGACCGCCGTACACAACCTAGTTCTATTAACCTTGACTCTCAGCCACATCATAGCGACACGCGTTGATTTAGACTTATCTAGTATGACCTGTATTTTTAAAAAATTCATTGACCTCTGCGAGACTTGACCGAAACCGGAAACCGTGCATGAAAAGTTTCTGGCACCCAGGGTATCAAACGACTGGTAACGAAGAAAGACTTGGGTCCATTTAAAATTGACAGAGCTGTAGTTGATTCCAATCGATCGGTCAATCTTCCCTTTGATATAAGGAAAATCCTTTATACTTATCCTCGGAAGAGAAAAGATATAAGAGATCTTAAAATGTTTCAGATCGGCGACCTGTCATCGTTCCTGGCTGGAGGGCTGACTTGCATCCGGCGCGGAGATTTGTTTGTTTCATGGTCGGGTTGTAGAGAAGACCAGACTCCATAAAGCATTTTGATGAACAATTCTATTTCAATTAAGTTCAATTTGTTTAAATTCACTGCAGATCCTAGAGGCAAAGGTCCGCATTTTTGTTTGACATTGGACAAAATCACTTTCTGTTTGATCGTACAGTAATTCCACAGTCACGATGAATTTCAGTCGAAGTACTCCTCGATAACAGCTTGTCTCAACTCTGAAGCATTGACATATTTTGTACGTGACAACGTAGAGCCGGTACGCCCTTTCATAAACTTGTAGCATTTGAATAATACGCAATAAAATGGATTTTAAGCTTTTGAATCGCACAGACGCGAAAATATTGACATACAGTTCGCGATATTATTATTTTCCATTGTTGCTCCGTTCGACTTCTATCAGCGCAAAACCAGCGGGTTGCATATAAATTAGCTTCTCAGGAATATTTAGGCTGTGCACGTGACCAGCCGATGCCAGGGCCTTTTCCCGCCCCACCCATTTTTTTAAGGGAAAAGCCCTGGGGACGAGGTTGCAAAGTACCGTAAACATAGATTCCAACTAAAATTTGAAGAAATCAGATGAGTGAAACAAGCTCTATACATACAAAACGAAATAGAAAACATAACTGTGCGGTGAAACTAATCAAATAAGTTCGTCAAGTCACGTTTTTTAAGGTAAAAAATGAAAATTTGTGTGTGGCAGCCTTTCGCATTTCCGGTGTCTGGCATGTTGGATGGTGGAATTTAATTACAAGTGTCCGTTTAATACAGGTTGGCAACAATAAAAATGACCATTTCAGGTACTTTTTAGGTGTCCGCGTCCGCTTAATAGAGGTGTCCGCTCAATAAAGGTTCCATTTAAAGTAAATAAGAGAAATAAATTTGGGGACTTCGGCTACTGTCCGCTTAATAGAGGGTGTCCGCTTAATACGGTGTCCGCTTAATACAGGTTTCACTGTACTGGAGTGTGAAAACGCCCGCCTAAACGAACATTTTTTTTTTAAATTAGGCTTATTCTAGTATTTTATGCTTGATGCTATACATCCAATGTTACAGAGAAGAAATAAAGTTTCCCTTTTCATGCTATTAATAATTTTGTTTTTTCCTTGAATAGGGTGTCATTTTTCGGCTTTCGGCCTTAAAAAGGGTATCATTTTTCGCTTTCTTAGTCCTTTTACGAACCTTCGCGGCATACCCCTATCCAAAATTCGCCGGAGTACCCCCCACTTCCCCCGGGCTGCTACCAAAGAGCAGCGAGTCTCAAGTTCTAGAACGAAACGAGGGAGCCTGGAACGAGGGTTTACTTGGACCTAGTTTTCTCTCGGCGCAACTTGAAATATTCGCCCAGGTACAAAATCAAAAACGGAGTGGCGCAGTATGTTTCCCTCGCACTTTTCAGTTAATGATTTCGGCGTGTTTGCCGTTGTATTGGTGTTTGGATTGATAGTTATTCTCCTTTTCACGTTTGACTTTGTGAGTATGCTTAATAAGTGGCAAGCGCACTTCGCCATGCAGATGAACACAAGTAAACAGTGATTTTGTGCTAAAATGGGGAGCTGCATGTTTGGAAGAGAATTCATTCTACTCCACGTATGCAAAATTTAGTTAAAATGGAAAAAATACTGGTATTCTCTGTCCAAGGCCAGCTGTCAAAGTTGCCCGTGGGATGCTCAATTTTTTTATGCATAAAGCGTCAGTCCAGTTCAGCTGTGCCCATTCTCCCCCACCCCACCGTGCCCAGGGGTCAGGCATTTGCAAACCCCGAGGCTGCCCCCATGATTTTTAAGGCATATACATAGTTTCTGACTCAAAATCCAAACACGGGGGAATTTACATGAATAGACATGCAGATTAGTTCATTTGTTAGAAAAAAAAAATTTAGAGTAAAATTTTTTAGAGCTTCTCTTCACTTTATCTAGCCAGATCAGAGTTGTTGTAGCGAGGTCGAGAGCAATCAACATGGAAGTTTACACCTTATTAATTATTATTTTTTAATCAACGATGTGAATAGCCTGTGAACAGCAGCAGACGCATTTCCTCTGCTGTTCACAGGCTACGATGTGAATGACTTTATTTTTACTATTATGAGTTATTTTAAAGGTGAAAAGTAATTGGCTAGTGTTATTAAAGACAATTAAAGACAGAGAGGCATACATCTAAGTCTGATGTTTATCACATCATTGCTAGGGTTCCATATGGTGGATAATAAAAATGCAAGCTAGATTTTAATTTAGTGATTTACATTTTACAGAGGAATTCATCCAAAGGTCCATGTATTCCAGGAGTGGAACCTTCAGATCCTGTGTGAGTAAAGGATGCCTAGCTAGAATGGGAACTGTTAGGGATAAAATCCATTCCCACATTAAAACCAAAAATAAAATATTGTAGTACTATTTTCTCTCTCTTTTTTTGTGATGACTCACTTTTTGGGATGCCCTTCAAAATAGGAGCCATGTGGTTACTGGAAAAAGTTAATTTCAATTGCCCTTGCTGGCATTTTTGTTTTTCTCTTTCTGCAGGAATGGTAATTTGCCTGACATAGCAAAGGCTGGTAGTGTTCATGAGTATTTGATTGAACTGCATGAGAAATATGGCGAGATAGTCAGCTTCTGGTGGGGAAAGGAATATGCTGTCAGTTTATCATCAGTTGATTACTGGAAAGAAATACAACCAATCTTTGACAAGCCTTGTAAGACAAATTAAATAATATTGATTGTTTACCTCAAATGTTAATTTTTATGTGTTCAAAAATATTTTGCTGTTTCTGATTAGCTTTAATCTCTCCACTAATTCTTTGTAACCAGCTGACACTGACCGAATTTGGAAATTGTGGGCAATATATATCAACATCAGTCACTCTCGAGGCACTCTTGCAGTAGCAGAACTGAAGAAAATAGTTCAAAAGAGTTCCAAATTACAGTCATGGAACCTATTTTCAGGGGACACGGGGGGGATTGAAGCAAATCTCCCCAGAATAGAGGTTGATCTGGGACTTGTTAATAATTAACCAACAAAGACTTCATGAAAAAACTGTAACAATAATATTATAAACTTCATCCCTGCATCATAATCATTATGTGTTGAATTCACACTTAGTGCATTACATCTATTTAAGGTATTTAGAAAGTTCAGTTTGTGAAAGCTTCCACAATTGTGATTACCTTACTTCAAGATATCAACCCTCTTGGTGTTCAGTCATTTTTTCAGTGTTAAGGTGTCTCCTGAATGAAGGTTAAACCCAGGTTTTGGGTCCCAGAAAAAGTGTCCCTTTCCCCTGAATAGAGGGGTCCCCCCAACAGGGATAATAGATACAAGGATTATGTGGATGTTTTTCAGGGGCCAAATTTTGTGTCCCCTGGAGGTGTGCCTCCCAAAGGAGAGGTTCCTCGACTGTACTGACTAAGCACCTGCTAACAATGAAAGGAACAAATGCAAAAATCATCTGTTCGTAAATATTCTAAACTGTGTCAAGAAACAGTCAAATGTTTGAAGAAAGTCTACTTACTAGCATAGGAAGGAAAGAGAATCAAGTTTATGTTTAATTATTTGTCTCATTCATATAGAATCATTGCACATCAAGATAAATATAATTCATGCAAAGTACAGACAATCAAATATGTTGGATTTATTTTCATCAATCACAGTTTATCAGTTTATAAAAAAAATATTTTAATAATAATTATATTATTATTATTTGTGACTTCAAATTAAAAATTTTGAGAAGAAAAAAATGCAGCAACATTGAGAAACATTTTTACTTTTGCCTTTAATTTAGTATAAATTGTTATTATATGTTATTTATACAGATGAGCAGTTCAAGTTTTTTGAACCTCTTTTGGGAGGAAAGAGTCTGACTTATAAAAATGGACTAGAAGCACGCAAGAAAAGGCAGTTGGTCGATCGTAGTTTCAGTCATGATGCAGTGATGAACTATTATGAACAGTTTACTCAGGTTTTGTTTTGTTTTCTTTCCTTAGTAATTTTTGCCCATTATTTTGATTAATTTCTTTATTTTATAAAACAGTCTAATCCAAGTCTAAAAGACAAAGGTAGCGAGACATCAAACATAACAGTTATATCTTCTTAGCCTGAGATAACAACTTATGTTTCACAGTGCCTTACTATTGGCTCATTTCACCATAACCTTACCTAGTAGTGGTGGCATGAAATATTAGCTGTTTTTCATAGCTTATACTGATGGTCTTTAAGAGTACTTTTATAGGGGTTTGTCATTTACAGTGTAACAGTGGTAAACCTGGGAGTTAATTCATCAATCTCTTTTACTACTATTCCTTGAATTATGTTCATAGCTTGTGATCATAATTATGATTGACAGCAGTGAAAAATGCTGCAAAATGTAAGCTTGCTTTCAAATTTCAGCGTTTACGTGTTATTGAAAAGTGCGGTGAGCATTTTATGGCAATAAAAGTAAATATTATTATTAATAATTTTAAACTTGATTTTATTGGTAATTATAACCACATTGATGTGTTATCATCAATCAGTTTATCATTGATGCAGATTTTTCTTCCTTTTCATTCGCCAAGAGCCCACCACGTGACCTGCAATTAACTGCCTACAAATAATGGTCTGCTCATGCTCAGTGTCATCCAACTGTGTTTGGCTACAAATAATATTCTGCCCATGCATAAATAAAACCGCACTTTTCTCCTTCTTTGTATCGCTCTTGCTTGAAAATAGCAGATCTCTTTGCTTCTCGAAGAAATTCATTAACAAACACAAACTCAGTGATCGAACGATAAAAAAATTATTGAACTCCAGTTATCACAAAATATCTTGATTGGTCAGTGTGTCTCACAGATCAATTGTTTGCCGAAGCTGAAGGCTCACCACTGACAAAATCATAATTTTGGTCAACCTCGTCCAAAAATAATTGTTAAATATTTTCATCTCATTTCAATCTGTAGATTGCCAAAGAAATGGTTGCGAAATTTGCCACATTTGCGGTGAATCAGGAGCATATTCCTCTTGGAGAATCTATGATCACCATGGCTATAAAAGCCATCTCTGTTGCAGGAATGGGACGCTTCTTTATGGATGAGAAGGAGATTCAGAAGTTAACATCAGCATATGAAGATGTATGTACATAAATAGTGATTCAGTTTATTATTGCCATCTTTCCTTTGGTGTTTATAATAGGTCTTTATCTTGAGGTCTTTATTATTAATTGGCAAAAATTCATGTTTGTACTTAAACTAATAAACCTACATTTAATTTGCACAAGTTAAAAACGAATTAAAAAGCTATAAAAAGAGTACAAAAAGCTTAAAATTCCGTTTAACTATTAACATTATCATTAAAAAACCACATTCACATTAAATTGCTTCTTGTTTGTCTTTAAAATAGAGCTTATTGATGAAACTATTTTTAAATTACTGGTTATTAACCCTAGGGAACTAGCTGCTTAGAACTCCGACTAGACGTTCAAAAAAGTCCTTCGTCGGATTTCATATGGCGCAGGATGAAGGACTTTTCATACTTGATTGGCGCCAATTTTACCGACCTAAAAACGCGTTGGTGCGCTTGGACCAATCAGAGTAGCTCCCAAGGACCCTTGAAAATAAAGCTGTCACCCACAAGTACTGAGCACAATGAAACGTGACTTGCGGTTCCAATTCCAACATGGGGTCAATTGCGAAGTGGAAGGTGTTGACAGGCTAAACAGACTCATAAGCTCGTGATAGTGTGATATGTGACCTTATAGTTTTGCTCTAACAAGGATATCTCCCAGCTATTTTGCTCTTTTATATGAAATGATGGGAAGCTCGTTGTATATTTCACACAGTAGCGGTTGATCTTGAATTAAGTGCCATTTGCTCATTAAAATGTTTTTAAGGTTCTGCAAAGCAGGGTGGTACGTGGTAACGAAAGGCGCCAAATTTTCTTTCGCACTTCATTTTTCTTTTGTAAAGCTGACTTCCTTTCGGTAAATTTAACCTCAGAGGTGATTTTTTCTATGAGATTGTGAGGGTATTACCTCTAGCGTGAAGGCATTTTTTGAAGTTGTAAATGTTTTCATAGAAGGATTTAGCTGAGGAGTAAGTTCTCATAAGTCTTAGGGCTTCGCCCTTTATGAGACCTTTTCTGACCACGTAATGGTTACAGGAAGAGAAATGCATGTATTGAAAAGTCTCTGTGGGTTTAAAATGTGTGCAGATGTCAAGGATTCCTTTGGTTTGAAATCTCCTTTCCCAGTATTGACTCGAGATAATTGAAACAAGCTTTTGCTTTTTTCCGGCCCCTTGAGGTTGTCAACTTTCGCACAAGTAAACAAATTTGCTCCGTCGATGATGGAGATACACACACACGTTCAATAGATTTAGTCGGAGTGGAATCAGCACATTCCGCCATTGAAAATGAAACCTGAAACCCAAAATGCAAGTCACGCCACTCCCCATTTTTGGCGCGAAATGCAAATGGAAACCCATCAAACGAGACAAGTCGACCTCTCGTGACTTCGTCGCTTGCGGTCGGCCGCATTGCGGCCAAACAAGACTCGCTCCACTCGCCGAGAGGTCGACTTGTAGCAAGTCTAAACTCGGATGGGCACCGAGCTTTCTTTTGTTTTTGGGAGGGAAGGATGCAAAGGGTGGCTGGGCATGCTGGACATGTTCTTACATTGCGCACGAACGGTTTCTTCTCAGACATCATATTTATATGTTAATCGTTTTTGCTTTTTATATTTGAAGTGCTGGCATGAGATGGAGGTGCATCTGGCTGGTCCCAGTCCCTCTCCTGACAGTGACAGAGAAAAAAAATTTCAACAAGGTACTGTATAGAGTATTGTCTTAAATGATTGTAATGAAACTGGAATTGCTGGAGCACTGAAGAACTGCATCATTAAGTTGTACATAAGCTTATTGCCTACCTCAAACCTTAACCCTTCTGAAATTTTCAATTCATAAAATGAAAGCTTGTGAATTAGCTTAAATGGAAACTTTATAGGTAGAAGGTAAATGAATGGGTACAAACTGGGCCCAGTTGTTCAAAGGCAGATTAGCGCTGCTAACCCAGGGTTTAGTTCTGCTCCTAGGTCTCTTTTTCTTTTGTTCAAAAGTATTTTCCAGTATAATTTTCTCTATTCTTTTTAGAGCATCCAGTCTTCAAATTGTACACAAAAAAATAAAACTATTTTGCTTTTTAAGCTTCATATCTGAATTCAAATTTCACCCATCCCTGAACAACTGTAAAACATTGAGGACCCCCCACATGTGGGACTGCACCTGGGGAGGGGGGAGGTAGTCAAGCAATTGAACGTATAGGTTAACTGCTAAGGGTTTGAAATCCTGACCTGTTTTAGGACAAAGAACCAAATTCACCTTGTCTTGTTTTAAGTCGTTTATTGCAAATGCAACAGCTATTGCTTCTTAATACATGTACTTTAGGTACAAACCATTTTCATCGAAAATGCAAGTGAAATTAATCATGTATGCCTTACCCTGTTGTTAGTTAGGACAGACTTGCGTGAAATTATTTAACCGTCAGATTAGGACAAGAGTACATTGGATGAATTGAATATGGTATGGGGATGCTTTAAACCTTGTGATTACCTCATTCATATGACTAAATTTTTACTGCCCGAACATAAATACGACAATATGTCATATCAACAGGGTTTTACTGCCTAAACTTATGGTGTATGGTGTAACTCTAGCGTCTGTTTACTTTTTAACAGGTGAAAAATCTCTTGTTACCACAGTTGCAGATTAAGCAAATTTAATTTTGATTTATTTTCCATCAGGAAGAACATACATGAAAGAGACGGTCAAAAATATGATGAACAGGAGAAGACAGGAGGAACATAAGGATGAAACATTGTTCCTTGATTCCATTTTGGATTGTGATCTAATGGATGAAGAGGAGGTAACAGCTGAAGCTCATCTTTTGTCTGTTTTTGAAGACTTTTTTCCAAAATGGCCTTTTTCGCCTCAAAATCCAAAATCTGAAGTGATTGTTCCAAAAACCAAATTAAGAGAATGCAACAAAGTCTTGAGTGTCCTGTACTGTAGGAGAATGCAACAAACTCCTGGGCATCCTGTGCTAACAAGTGGTGATCTTTTTTGTTGTTCATGTCACTTGTTTGCCTTTTCATCACTTTCTTTAGTTCAAAGAGGTTGCATGATGGCTGATGACCTGATATTTAATATATAGTTTGCATAATTTTGCATGAGAAATGTTTATCAACCAGCATGTTTAGTGTTAGCACATGTGGAATTTAATCATTACTTTGAACTGTTGTAGTTTTACAAATTTCATTCATTTCAATTTTTTGAGCTATCATCAAATTTACCCTGTGGTACTGTGGCATTTTCGTGCACATCAATTGAAAGATACTCTTACCTGGAACGCACTCTACGATCTACGATTGCTAATAGTTTTAGCCCTGCATGGTCATTCTGACTGTTAATCAAGTTTTCACTTAATGAATTATACCGCCTCTTTCTCCTCAACATGTGACAAACATTTCGAAGGCATAATAACCCCACCCCCTTCCAAGTTGTCTTTCTCAATAAGTACCTTTAAACTCCTGGGCCCAGTTGTTTGAAGGCCGATTAGGGCTTAACCCGGGGTTAAATTTAACCCTGGTTTCTTTTTCTTGTGTTCAAAAGCATTTTCTCGTATAATTGTCTCCGTTATTTTTAGAGCTTCCAATCGTCAGCTTGTAGACAAAAAGAATTAAAACTGAAATGCTTTTTAAACTTTCAAATCTGAATTCAAATCTCGCACTAATCCTGGGTTATCTTAAACCAGCTTTGAACAACTCGGCCCTGAACAATAGATGAGCGTGGGGGAGGTGCCTGAGTAGCTGGTGGAGCCCAGAACTGCAGCCGAGAGAAGTGGGTAACCATGACAACCCTGTTAGGGGCATCCACCCAGGCACCGTCACACTGCTAACCAGTGGAAATTAAATATACTTACCAAAGGGAAGGGTTGGAAGGGAGCTGAAGTAAATACAAGCGAACGTTTTCACGTAATACAACACGAGCGAAACAAGATGACCTCAACACGATAGCATTAAAATCCCAGCTACCCAGGCGAGAGGTCCATGACTACTCCCGGTGCATTGTCTCGAATTTAACTTTGCCTAAATTGCATTCAGCCACATAAATCATATGAGTGAGTAGCCTACGTAGCAGGCGCTCGTACTTAACATGAGTGCAAGAAAGAACGAGGTGCGCGGGGGGAGGGGGGCACGCGAGGGAAATTTGTAGCCGCAGTGTCTGATCACTGGCAAAAAAGTGAGAAGGTAAGAGGACATAGGGAAAAAGAGATAGTGGGGAGACAGAGATTCTTTAAATACCTTTTTTCCCACTTACTCATTTAGTTGTCGTAAAATTTGTGAAAAAAGATCTCTCTTACCCCCAGACACCTTCAGGTAATTCCTTCAGAATTGCTGTTGTATTTTTTTCAGTTAAACGTAAGTAGTTAGTCAATAATACTTAAAGCATGTTACTCCGCCTTTTACAGATATAGAATCTCCCAATAAAGCACTTTAGACGTGCCATCATGAATGGTTTATTTTTTCTCTTTCTGTTCTGGAGATGTCTGGCTCCATAAGACTGTAACTATCGCCCACAAATGTTACCCATAATTTGTTGCAGGCCTCTTAAGGGTTTAACGTTGATGAAATCTTTTTTTTTGTAATGATTATTTTGCAGATGAATGACACCGTCATTACTTTTCTAGTCGGAGGTTTCCACACAACAGGATTCAGTAAGTGCACTGGACCCTTGGTTATTTTCAGAACCCATTTACAGTGTTAACGTTATTTTAACCCGCTAAATAGATATTTAATTAAACGCCGCGACGTTTGTTATATTTTTAGCGTTTCCGCTCTGACGTTTATTCAAGGATGGCGTTTGTTTCAAACTTGCATTTCTCATATAAATGACAACAATTACGATAAATCATTTGTAAATTTTTATTACTGTAAAACAGAAAGATGTTACAAGTTCCAACGTCTCGCTTTTTTTTGCTGAGATAGAATCGTAATTGACTGGTTGGTGTAAATTACCAAGTGTACCGAGTTTTTCCTCACAATTCTCGAACAAACGCCGCATCCTTCTGATTCGGTGCCGTTTTTATTGGTAATTTTAGTTCCTAAATTGCGAAGATTAATAGGGTAAATAGTGTTTACCTAGCATTTCGAACTGTAAGGACGATAACGTCTGAAGTTATTTCCATATTTTCTTTCCTTTTCTCAGCTAGAATACAGTCAAACCGGTATTAAGCAAACCACTATTAAACGGTTACCCTCTAGTAAGTGGTCACATTACCAAAGACCGTCAACACCCGAAAATCTGTAAAACTAACCTGAAGTAGGCAGTCACCTCAGTCCATTAAGCAATCGCAGTAGACTGCGAGTAGTCCCTCTTCAGTCAGTCGGGTCTAAGCTCGGCAGGACTGGAGAGAGCGAAATGGCTCAGAGGGAAACTGAAGAGAGATGGTCAATGGAAACTGGAGAGAGTAAATGACCGGTTTCCCCTCGGCTTCTCGTTTTTTTTTTTTTTCGCTCGCTTCTCTCGATTTCCTTGCTCGCGTGACCATCCTGTGGGACTGCGCGCAGTCTACAATCGCAGTCACCTTCTCCGAGGGCCCAACAAATTATTTTCGTCGTCTTCAGCTCTATTTAACGGTCACCATGACAACTAGTGCAACGGATATAACCTGCACGGTGTTAAGTGGTCTTTTACAGGTCGATTTGTCGCCCTTTCATCATCTTCATTTTCTTGAGTATTCGTAGGTTTGTTAAACCTGGCCGGCATTCCCTAGGGGTGACCATTAGTTGTTATTACTAGTTTTGTATCCACCAAACATTTTTTTGTCTTGTAGTGATGACTTGGTGTTTGTATTACCTGACGAAACATCCTGAGATCCAAGAGAAAGTTTACAAGGAACTTGAAGACGTCCTGGGAGATGAGGACATCAAACCACAAGTTGCCTCTCAACTGAAGTAAAACTAATAAATGTATCCATTCAGCAACTGATTAGTCCCCTTCTCCGGTCGTCTCTATTTGGATCGCACGTGGAAGACGCGCGGGACGCGAGAAGCGTGACCGAAGGGAGCGCGAGGGGTAATAAGAGGGCCATCCTTCCCATCACCCCTCGCGCTCTCCTTGACAGGTGACTGAGAGACGACCGGGGACGAGTCAGATTTATCATCATTCATTCCATTGGTGACAATGTTAAATTAGAATTATTTATAAGTGGGTCTTTTGGTATTTGGTTTTGCATTTTAATCAGAGTCATTTGTTGTACAGTAAGTTGTGAAACAAAAGATTCACAAATAGAAACCCTCATTTTCGCCAACAGTTTGAATAGGTTGTTTGCTACAACACAGAGTGGACACTGGTTCTTATAAATTAATGGTGGTTATTTTGTGCAATTTCAGTCTGCCGGTGATTTGTTGTACGATGATGTCCTACATCATACAGCGCATGCTCTGTAAGGGATGCTATCGTTTCCACCGTTTTAGCATTTTGGTGTGGACGGGCAAAAACGATTCTAATACGCTCCGTGTGTGGACGCAATTTTTTTCGAAAACGAAGAAAAAGTCTTCGCTTTTAAAAGTATTCGGAGACGTGAAGACATAGCCTAAGTCTGTTTGCTCATAAATTTTATTGCAGGTATACTCGTCAAGTGATAGATGAGACTCTCCGTTGTTCTGTCTTGGCGCCGTGGGGGGCGAGAATCCATGAATACGATCTTCAAGTGGGCGAGTTTGTAATTCCAAAAGAGGTACAGTTAGCCTTCTGACACAGTTGTTGTCCTAATACGTCCGCTCCAGAAATTTCTGTTGACTAGGAACCATCCTTCTAAAGCACTATTCTTTTTTGGATCGTTTTAAACTACGGCCCGCTTTATCGGTATGGTAGTTTGCTAGCTTCCAACGGCGACTATTATCCAATCACAGCTCTTCAGGCCACCCAAGCAACTGGATAAATTCATTTCTAAAAGTTGGTTTCCAGTCGTGTTTGAGTTTCTTTAGTGATAAATAGGCTTAGCAAGTGGCGTTTTGTGCGATTTGTCAGTGAGTGTTGCAAGTGGATTGAAACTACCACGGTGGTTAAACTAGAAGCCAGTTTAATGACTGTAATTAATCTTAGAATAAAATGAAAGCTCAAATAAAATTTAAAATATATTTTTGCTTGTGTACCTCCGCAGACGCCAATTCTTCTTCCCTTTGGAATTGTTCTTCAAGATCCAGAGTTGTGGCCAGAGCCCAAAAGGTAAAACAGTTCGGAATTTCTCAGTTTGCCAGCAGTCGAACAGTCTCTTATGTTGTTGAAAGTTACTGTGACTAATTAATAACTCGTAGGTTCGAGAAGAAAAGGAAGACTGCAAAACTAGTTTAGGTAATTGCGTTCGAGGTACGAGAACGCAACCCCTAATTTATGTTGGGTGTTCTGTGGCCATGCGGGACATACCCGGGTGGCTAAGAAAATTCCTACCACTTTTCAACCATTCTTGAGTAAATCCTTGGTTACAACTAAGTTGCTCTGTTTTTCCCCATGATATATCCAGTTTCTTCAAGTTCTGATTGTTATTTTGTTGTTCTTGTGATCAGGGGAAGGGGCAAGTTACTTCATTTTTCTGTTAGTTAGTTTACATTTTTGAAATTTGTTCCAGTGGTTGACCCATGTAACCTAATCTGGAGCGTGATGTTATCTTTAAACAGATAGAGGTTTTGTTCCGTTTAGACAGGGTCTTGCAACAGCATTTGTAAGTAAGACTGAATTGTTGACGCATGGGTAGACCAATTCTTTGCCACGTACCCTAACTGCAGAAAGTGAGATAACTTTTGCCAGTAAAGAAAAATGACACCCTGTAATATTTTTCAGGTTTGATCCTGATCGTTTCAGTCCAGAGAACATTAAAGAGCTTCCAAGCCTCGCTTACCAACCGTTTGGGTTTGCTGGTAAACGTAAATGTCCCGGATGGAGGTTCTCAATCGCTGAAGGGCTCGTGTTTCTTGCTGTCCTCATTAAACGGTTCAAGTTTCATCTCGTAGAGGGACAACAGGTCAAACCGGTTCATGGACTGGTCACCTCACCAGCCGAGGAAATCTGGGTTACAGTAACAAAGAGATTAATAGAAAACTAGTCGGTGCTCCAGACGTGTTTCATCTAAAGCCTTTTCGGTAGCGAGCGCGGCAATGTTTGTCTCTAATGGGAAAGTAGGGGTGGGGGAGGGGGTTCGGGTCTGTGAGCAGACTTATTGTAAAAGATGACCCCAAGACTCGATACAACAAAATTGCAGCGAATATTCACCGTCACCCCCTGCACCCGCCCCTATGGATTCTCCATCATTTCATAGGCAGGCCTGCGAGAGGCAAGTGCGAGGTACATTAAGTAGAAACAGCAAGCAGGAGTTATGTCCCTTCGTCTGTCTTCAGATTCCCAAATGGGCAGCTTCCACGCGGGCTGAAGATATAAAGCTTAAGAAGTTACCATTTTTTTTACAAGGCTAAGATTGTTTTGAAATATCAATATCAAAGGTCTAACATGATGCACTTTTTTTAAAATCGTCAGCATATCACATTAAGAAAGGGTCTAAGTTGACGCACATGTCAAGTACTGTCTCAGTTCTTGCAATTGCTTGTAGCTTGCAATGCTGGCCTTCAGGAGCGGAAATTTATTACAGTCATTGTTAGGGGAAAAAAAAACCGTTATTTAGGTGTAGGTGCTATAATACCAGTAGGGGCGATAACCTGTCTCAGTGTCTCGGACACAATTTACTAATCTCAGCTGACAGTTGCTCAAAGAATCTCAGCTATCAGTTAAAAAACTTATCGTTTCTCAGCTAACAGTTAACGTTTTGGCCAATCCTCAGCTATCAGCTAACCCCATCCACACCCTCTGAAGTGGCGTATCTCGCGATCAACCTACGTCGTCGGTCTTGCAGTTTCTAACAGAATTTGCTTATAAAGAACTTTGAACGAAAAGGAAAATTTAAATGAAATTAATTGCCATTGCGTAAAGCGAGCACTCCTTCGTTGTTTAATAACAATACTATATTACAGTTATGCATGTTCTTAGTTTGTCTTGAACAAGTTATCTTTCTGATGATAAATAGACGTTTTTACTCGGAAATGATGGACAAGATTGTTGAACGGTAATGATTTAAGAGGCGCTGCTGCGTGATGGCTACTTCTATCAATGTGAAAGAGCAATTCAACAAAACACATATATTCCTGGATTATATTTTAATATTTCCCTAAAACAGTTTTATAACACATTAACTATTTCTTCTATACGTAATTATGAATATTGTAATTCCTCTTTAATCTTTTTTACTTTTCTCATAATGTGTGCCAGAGTTACTCATTTTAATAGAGTGGAATGTTTGGTTTCTATAGAGGATAAAAGTTTAACGTATTTTTGATACTTTGGTTGAAGTCCCCTCGTTCATATGCTGCAGGACCAAGGACCTGGCCATGCCGGCCTGCAACCCTAACCGTGTTACTTCGGCCAAAGTATGTGTTGTCTGCGTACACGTGATGTTCAGAAGGATTGCCATTGGTCAGCCAAATGCAAGGGTAATCAGTCGGATTACTGACACCAATGATCTCAAATTCATTGACAGAAAATTTGATGTTCTCATCTCTTCCAACATTGTGATGAGGCTCGTGGTATCTCAAACCACTTGTTGAATTGTTTAGGTTGGTTTGCATTCTGAGGTGATTTCCGCAGACTACAACGTTCTTGAGACCTACATAAATACAGGCCTTTTTTCTTTTGTTGTCGTGCGAATACAGCAGAATTCCGGTGTCGTCAACGTAATTCCGAACAAGCCAAAGATTTTGGCCATTTCGAGCTTTAATGCCACCCGATGCATTCGCAGGCCAACCTCTGACGTAGTTGCTTATTACTGTTATGTTGTCGAACCCGTTGAGGTATATGGCGTGGTCTCTATGTCGTCCAGTATTGGGACTTCTCTTGAAAACGTTTTTCTCGATTTGCATTCCTTCGTCGCAATGTTCATAGAGACAACTTTTAAAGTAGCCTTGGTCATCTTGAAGATGGTAATGAGTTTTAAGGAATTCTAATTTACTTTTTTGACCCGACCAGTATCTTTTTGGCTCAACTTGGTCGGACAACCAGTGCATATCCTGACTTAATTTGAGACCACACAAGTTGTTATCTAGTGTTATGTATCGGTCAAATCGAAGCTTCAACATGCCCCCCCGGGCAACACCCCGGGCATTTGACTTTTTTGAAAATTATTGTTCAAATTCCCCCTACCCGGGCCAAAATGCCGTTCAAATGCCCCACACTGGGGTTCATTCAGGTGATCAAATGCCCCCACCCCGAGGACAGTTCACAGGCACAAAATTGACAGAAGGACGGCGGAAACGCCTTCAGTTGTCGAACAAAATCTTTCTAAATATAACAAAAACTGAGAAACACTGCTAGCGTATTTACTACGAACGAAAGTCTCGTGCAAAGCGGCGGAAATCGCTGCTACAAGGTCACTGAATGCTCAGCTTTTCTTCGTCATGCAACATACAAAGCGTTCTATAAAAAAGATCCCACCTATTGAGATTACTACATCATGACCATTAATCCTTCCCATCACCCCTCGCGCTCTCCTTGACAGGTGACTGAGAGACGACCGGGGACGAGTCAGATTTATCATCATTCATTCCATTGGTGACAATGTTAAATTAGAATTATTTATAAGTGGGTCTTTTGGGATTTGGTTTTGCATTTTAATCAGAGTCGTTTGTTGTACAATAAGTTGTGAAACAAAAGATTCACAAATAGAAACCCCTCATTTTCGCCAACAGTTTTTTATTAGGTTGTTTGCTACAACAGAGAGTGGACACTGGTTTTTATGAATTAATGGTGGTTATTTCCTGCAATTTCAGTCTGCCGGTGATTTGTTGCACGATGATGTCCTACATCATACAGTGCATGCTCTGTAAGGGACGGCTATCGTTTCCACCGTTATAACATTTTGGTGTGGAAGGGCAAAAACGATTCTAATACACTCCGTGTGCGGACGCAATTTTTCTCGAAAACGAAGATAAAGTCTTCGCTTTTAAAAGTATTTTGAGACGTGTAGACATGGCCTAAAAAGGTCTATTTTCCTCTTAAATTTTATTGCAGGTACACTCGTCAAGTGATAGATGAGACTCTCCGTTGTTCAGTCTTGGCGCCTTGGGGGGCGAGAATCCATGAATACGATCTTCAAGTGGGCGATTTTGTAATTCCAAAAGAGGTACAGTTAGCCTTCTGACACACTTGTTGTCTTAATACGTCCGCTCCAGAAATTTCTGATTGACTAGGAACATCCTTCCTTAGCACTCTTCTTTTTTGGATCGTTCTAAGCTACGGCTCGCTTTATCGGTATTGTAGTGTGCTAGCTTTCTTAGGCGACTATTATCCAATCACAGCTCTTCAGGCCACCCAAACAACTGGATAAATTCATTTCTAAAGATTGGTTTCCAGTCGCCTTTGAGTTTCTTTAGTGGTAAATAGGCTTAAAGACTTTAGTCAAAAGTCGCGGTTTGTGCGATTTGTCAGTGAGTGTTGCAAGTGGATTGAAACTACCACGGTGATTAAACAAGAAGCCAGTTTAATGACTCTAATAAACCTTAGAAGAAAATGAAAGCTGAAATAAAATTAAAAATATAGTTTTGCTTGTGTATCTCCGCAGACGCCAATTCTTCTTCCCTTTGGAATTGTTCTTCAAGATCCAGAGTTGTGGCCAGAGCCCAAAAGGTAAAACAGTTCGGAATTTGTCAGTTTGCCAGCAGTCGAGCACTTATGTTGTTGAAAGTTACTGTGACTAGTTAATAACTCGAAGGTTCTAGAAGAAGAGGTGGAATGCAACTACGTTTAGGTAATTTTAATCGCCGAACTTATTTTACCACAAATGAATGAACGGGTCTAGTTTCAAAAGAACGTCTTTTGGTGCTGCATCTGTGAAGAGGGGGGGGGGGGGGGGGGGGGGGGGGGGATTTGGGGGGAAAGTGGGTTTAAAAAGGAAAAAAAAAAGATGTTGTTTAAACGGGAGGCCCTCTTGCCCGGTGGGACCTACCCAGGGGGCCAAAAAAAATTCGGCCACTTTTAAACCGTTTTTTGGTAAAACCTTT